CAATCTTCCATTCTCTGCCATCCTTGTGACTGCTTCAGTCAACTTAATAGCTTCCTTGCAACTGTATTTTCCTAAAAACAAAGGAAGAAACACGGTAAGAGGCTGGATAACAACAAACACTGGAATATTATCAATCTGCCATAAAATTAAATCTGAAGCAGAAAAAAATCCCCCAAGAACTCCTGTCTTTTTCACTAATTATTGCTTTGGGGAAAACATACTATTCCAGTCATAGTTACATTAAAATCCTGGATTTTTCCATTTTTTCCCCTAAGTAACAATAATGTATTTGTCAAAGGAAATCAAAAAATTGCTCTATCTGACCTTAGTTATTATCATTTTCTGTAGCTTGCTTTTTTCTTTCTAAACATGAATCACAGACAAAAACAGTGAAAGTGGGAGCAGGATTATTATTGACAAACAACTGATTAGCTGTACCTGTGAAATATGCATAAAAGGGTGGAGTAATCATTCAAGGGATGCTAATTGAACAGGAGTTGTTGGGAGAACTGAATAGTATTATTTAGTACTGGTTTATCTGAGGTAAACCAAATCTATCTGCAAATCTTTGAACTGTGAGTAGAAACTGAAACTCTTAAAATAGTGCTCTTCCTGTACTCTGAACGTATGGCTTTATACTCTTCATATGAGGTTGTCCATGCAAAGCAATGGGTCAGAGGACCTCCCTCAATTTCTTTAAATAAAAATGACATCAACAAAGATGCCATTTAGGCAAGCAAACTTGGGGAAGATGTGTGCAGAATAAAAAACAAAATTCAGATGCTGTAGGATCATGATTAAATTATAAGAGAAATAGCAAAATATTTTAAGAGCAGTTGTGTGATTATTTAGTTACCTTTATTTGGTAATATACTGTATGTGGCTCCTTATATAGCCCAGATGGTGTCATTTACAGAAAGAAGCTATTAGTAGCCTTGGGTTGAATCAGGGCAATGAAAACTGAATAAATAGGAATAGAATGGAATAACTATGTCTAGCTATAGAGAGTATTTGTACATCACGTGAAGCAGGATTCTTTTAACAATGGTTTGTTAAGAATCAAGAAACTATAGCAGTAGGTACTGTACTATAATAAATCATGGTTTACAAACTACAATGGCTGGGATAACATATCCTACTGAATGACAGAATGGCTTAGTTTGATGTGTGAACACAATGTTTTTATATATCTTATTTGTACTTCATATAATAATTACACTAATACTGATATTTTCTTTTCATTCTAATGTTTTCACTCCCTTACTTCCACCATAAGACTGCCAGCCGAGAGAGGCCTCATGATGCTGATATTGGGTTTATCAGCTAAAATGTATGATGAAAAAGATTGCTCTATAGAGACCTGAACTCCTACATAGATGCTTGTGTGGACTTCTTGGAAGGATAGGTTAGTCCCATCCACTTCTCATTTGCAAGGCATCTGGAGATATTTCTGTTCTGGGCCATGATATTTACTGTACCTCCTTTTGTAGGTCTCAACTTAGGAACCAATGCAAAATGATAGCTTCGCTTTGTAGTTCTGGCAGAGTAGAATGGGATTATCAGTAGAAGTCTCAGGAAGAAGATATCTGATGTTATAGTAGATGTTTGTTTTTTACTTGGGTATAGTTGTATATTATCTTCTAAACTAGGGGCATCAGTTCTTAGAAAACTGGCATGTTTGGCAACATTGTAGAGAAAGGAGGTTTCTTAAGAAATCTTTCCTAATTTGCATCATTAGACCTATTTCTCTTGAAATGCAACCTCTCTGCATTACAGCAGAAAGTAGCCCATATATGTCAACAAAATAATTTGAAGCCTTATTTGCTAGTATCCCACTGAACATATGCCAGGTAATATAACCTCATATCCATTCTATAATGGGATGAAGTACCAGGAGCCCATGGATAGTTGTTTAATTGTAGGAAGTGTTCAAAATATCACATGTATTTAACTGATTGCATAATAATATAAACACCTGCCATAAGCCATCTATAAAGCAGGAAGCTTTTTCAGTGGAGAAAGTTAATATGGAAATGAAATGAAACAGAATCATTTCGTATAAGTGGCTATAAGTAAAGCCACATGAAAGTGACACAATATCCTGTGCTGAAATCAAACTAGATATCCAATGCTTTTTGTACTCAAATCAGCAGGCCATAATGCTGCTTTCAGGACAGCATAAACCTAAATGAAATTCCAGCTCAGAAGGTTGAACAAATAGGCCATATATATATCTTAGATATTAGTTCTTCAAACGTCCTTGTGGTTATGGACATGACCAGCCAACAGTAGAAGGCTGTAGCTCTTAAACACTAATATACTTGTTTGTTCAACAGATCTGTTCTGTTTAGTTTTTTACATATCCTAACTCCATGGAAGCGTTATGGAACTTGGCCTCTTTGGCCCATGTTACTACTTGATGCAGCTTTATAATACTGAAACTACAGCAACAGCAAGTTATCCTGAGGTGACGCATCTTTTCTTATTCTGAAAATACAGAATAATAACAAGGTTCCTTATTTGTTGTCCTCGAACAGATGTTTAGAAAACATTTTATAGAGCATACAGTTCCTTGGATATATAGTTGTGATGGCAAAACCTAACCATTCAGTTTTTTAAAATTAATTTTACTCCATGCCTTGCAACCCCTGTTTGAAACACTTGGGACAATGTCTTTAGCATAGTTGCTATCCACTGCAGACAGGAAACCACAGATTTTACAGTTATGCAAATAGTATTGACCTGTCAACTTTCTTACCAAATATAGCACAAGATTTTTCCCCCCCACTATACACTCTGGAACACATTTGTCAAAAATCTCACTCATTTCTTGTTCCTAGTTTGTAGCACTGAAAATCTGGGAACAAATGCAAGAGAATAAGGTACAGCCTTTGATCTCAACCTTCAGATAAACTTATTGCCAATTCAATGCTGTGCTTGAACCCAATCCAAAATCTAGGTAATATTATGATGCACCTGACCTCTCAAGTAAGGAATTAAACAGTCTTCATTTGGATTCTTCACAGCATTTAACTCACTGTGAGAGATGCCCTCCTTACTCAAGCCGGGAAAGATAAAGTATGTGGTTGTTTGGATTGCCCTTTCCATTTTTATTTTGAGACATACTAACCAAATTGTACCGACTGTGCAATGGGTGGGCATGGAAGTCAGGTATTAGTTTCATCAGTGAAAGGGCCCCATTAAATCTATCAAATTTTGCACAATCTGGAACAAGATGGGGAAACCACACAGCTGTGGCTTCTGGAAATCTTTCCAATCCTTTATCAAGAGCAACCATAGGAGTTATCTGTATTTTCTTCTATGTTATAAAGTAATACGTTGCATCGCTGTGTTTGTTCCTGCTCTTTCTTTTGTTCCATCTCTTCGTGTTTGTATGTATGCGTTGGAAAGCATGGGGCAGCTGTGCTCTTGGTCATATGAGCAGGAGGGAAGAACGAGGGGAAGCTTAGAATGGAGCAGTCACAACTTTCTGAGCCTGTCCCTGGGGTATGCATTGGAGGAAAGTTTCAGCCCCCTAATCCCTTTCCTAATCCCTGGCCTGACCCAGCCACTGTTAACTTAATTTTTTTTTTTTTTTTTGCCAGTTTCTCCCTCCACACCAAATTTGGTTCTGTTCTGTTCAGTTTTCAGCAAATTATTGTGCAGATAGTCAGAGTCCCAACACCCCTTCATAGTTTCTTTCCAACATTCCACTGGGTTGGAAAGAATAATAATTTTGCTGGATGGCACATTTCCAGTGCAACGGCAACAGGAGGGAAATATCTTTCTAACTTCCATCATCACACAATGTTCCAAAAATAATCTATAGTAGTTATCTTGGCACCTAAATAATCTGGCCTACTGCTAAATCTCTTTGAGGTCCTTTGTAATACAAAGGGATGCTGCAATGAACAACCAACTGGAAAGATTAACTGGAGGGGAAACATTGGAGCAAGAGCTTTGGCCAACCTGCCATTCTTCACGTCAGCAAAATCAGAGGTAATGATGGATCTAGAGCCCAACCTGCTTTGTGAATGCTGAAGACAGTGCCATAGCTTCCTCTAGATTGGAGAGAAAAGGTTTTACAGGAAATTTTAGAATACACATTTGGAGACGTGGAGATATGAATACTACCAGGAGCACAATAATAAAAAAAAATCACATGCCTTTTTAATATGATTTTATCCCACCTTTCTACTTCATTTGAGCTCTCAAGGCAGCTAACAATACATAAAATAAGAAATACAAAAGAAAAAGTTCAGAAGCATAAGTTAAAACCTGTACAAAAATCAATTGCTAATCAAAGTTCTAGCAAAGAACATGCATGTTTGCTGCAGTTATGAAGGCAGAGGGAGTAGGAATCAGGACAGTTACTGAAGGAAGAGAGTCATGGTTTCTCAACACAAGAGTAAATGTTTCCAGTCTTGTTGCATTGTATCAGATACAGCATACATTCTGTCACAAATACTAGGATACTTATTATTTGGGATAATCTATAGTTAGCACAAGCCAGAATGTCTTAAAATATTCAGAGATGGGCTGTCCTTCACCAGCAGGTTTAAATCCTCCAGCACATTCAAGAGGGCAAGCATAACTTGCCCCAATTGTTCCTATTGATATCCATGGAGATTTATTCACTTTTCTCTCCTCTAGCTTTATGAACATTCACACTGTAAGTCAGAATAATAGATGAGGAACAAGCAAAACAGAAGCAGAGGAAATGGAAGAAAGCAGACTGTCACGTTTACTTAATGACAGCTTCATTTGGGGGCAATGTACTAAGCGTAAGATGATCCCTTCAAATTTCTGCAAAGTTGAAAGGAAGGACTAAGATGGAACCCCATCTACTTGGTGCAGGCAGTATAGTTGCATCGGGAGAGTGAATGGGGAGGTGTGTGTAGTTGGCCTATTTCATTTGGCTTGCTTTTTATGAGGAAGTTCTCTGCTCTGTTTCCTTTCTCTCTCAGCACCATTAAACAGGAAGCTGAGTGAGTAGCAAGCAGCTGCTGAGCTCTGTGAACAGACAGCTTTGGGATCTCCACTTAACTGCTGACGGAGTAGTTAATGTTACTTCAATTTAAGGTTTATTTTTTTATTTGGGTTTTTTTCTTTTTTAAATTCAAGACATGGATCAGTGCTGGTACCATGGAAGCATCACTCGTTCAAAAGCTGAGGACTTACTTTCTAAAGTAGGCAAGGATGGAAGTTTTCTCGTTCGGGCCAGTGAGTCTGTCTCTTCAGCTTACGCCCTCTGTTTGCTGTAAGTACGGCCGTTACTTTCCCCTCAGCTCACCTGCTCTTCTACTGCTTTAATTCACAGAGAACTGCAAGGGGGATCTTGTCTGTACATGATGGGGTGATGACGCTTGTACTCAGTTAAGAGTATGGAAGTAGCATTAAAAGCACTTGGCCAATTAACTGTCATTGTAGAATAAGTCATCTGAAAAAAATGGTAAAATATTTAAAGGAAGGCAGTGGTCAAAGAATAATTTTAGAACGATTATGGGGTTAGCCATAAGATCTCATCTTCTTGTTCTTTTGATTTGAACAAACTGAGGTCAGAATAAGCACTAGATTTAATACCTACCAATTTTCTTAGGAACTGAGAATGTGATTGATGTAGTTACAAACATATGCAAAAAGTTGATAAAGCATATTGGCTTTTTTATTTATATTAGGCCAATGGGATCTTGCTTTTTTTGTGTGGGGATGGTATGCTAGTGGACTGCATACCTGGAAATATATGAAAAGTACCTGAAGAAAAGGGTTTTTTATTTCAAGACCATTTGTTTAATTATATAGGAAGTCAGTTAATGTGAATGATGTAACTCAGTAGTGGAAGGACAGGCAAATTATATCCCTATAATTCAGCAAATTTCTAAGGGCCATGAGTACCCCCTTCTTGTAGTAGTGCAACTTCTGTCCTGCATGTGAAGAACTAGGAACTGTCAAAAGCCAATTCTAATTCTAAATTGTCCCCTACACACAGAGCCTCACAAACAATTTAATGAGCAAAATTATGCAGAAAACATTTGCCAGAAATGTTTCGCTTTCAGCTCTACTCCACAGCAGAAATTAGATAATAGATGACTGAAAGATGCTTTCGATCCTCAGTAGTCTAGCCCTTAGAAATATTTTTCTCAGTGTGCAACTGATTAATTCCAAATGAAACCTCCAAATTATGGCTTCCAGGAATAAGTGAGATAAACCCATATTTGTATTTCCACTGGAGCTGGTGATGGTCCTACCATGATGGTTGGTTCAAATAGTGACAACAAAAGGTTTAAACATTGTGTTTTATCAAAACTAAAGCACTCACCCACACAAACATATACATTATAGCTTATTATGACAAAATTAGTCTTTGAATCCACCTGATGAATAAAGAAAGGTTTGTAAGGAGAGTTTGAGAAATCAAAAGAACAATTAGTCTTGGCATTCTGAATTTTTCTGTCTAGTTTACTGTGTGGCTGCTGGAGAGTATAGTCTGACTACTAAAGAAATAGTAGTATTTTCTGCCAAGTTTTTCTTTCTTTGTTTTGACATACATATCTCTCTACTTGATGTTGTCAAGTAACTCCTCTAAAGAGGCTTGTCTGGTGCCTAGATTATCGTCTTCCTAGTGCTAGGCCACAATGTTATTTGTTCTGACATTTTAATTTTATTGTAAAATTTATAATTGTTAAAGATGTTATTGGATGGTTAATTTATATTTGGCATACCAGGCTGAATTCCTGATAGGACAAAGAGTAGATATAATGCTTAAGTAACAAACAGCTTGTAAAAAATCAAGGGTGTCCACAGGGTAGGGTCAACACACATAAAAAAATAGGCAGAGCTTCAATTGCATTGTCATGGCTACCATCTTGACTCTTTTTGACCACACCCTGCAGATAATGCTTCATTAAATAATATTCTGAAATCCTTCTCCAATCTCTGGAAATACCTCCAAGTAATACCTCTAGATCATTGGTTCTCAACGGGGGCGGTACCGCCCCCCGGGGGGCGGCGGGGGGGGGG